TTTTAAATTCCTCTTCCTCTGTTACATGATATTTTCCATTATGTTCAGGTCCCCAGAATGCATAGTCTAGATCTGTGTTCACACAGGTGGTGATTTCAATCAGTAGCTAACCGTTCCCAGCACTTCCTGTCACCATCAACCCTGGTGAATAACATTCTCATTTATATATTTATATATTTCTCACACAAAAAATTACCTGCATCCGCTCAAAAAAAATTGTTTCAAGAAGACAACCTCAAGGTTTACTTGTGATACCCAGGGCTACAGTGGCTGTGGCTCACATGTCTTTTCCAACTAAGGATAAAGGAACCTTCTCAATGTCTCTGTTGGATAGTGTTTCCTACGCCATTCTGATATCTTAGCTGTGAAGCCTGTTCTCTTGAGTGTGGACTTGTCCCTCACCAGCTGGCAAAGTCATATTTGTGTTAGCAGAGATCAGTAGGTATATCTTAAATTCAGGGAATAGACAATTATTGCTACAAAATGGGAAGTATAGAGGAGTGAGTGACCAAGTCACCACATTTCATCCTCAGAACCAGAGCCCACCCACCAGAAACATCTTTATGTGGATTCTTGGCCCATTTTAGTCTCGAATACTGGTATTTCTGTCTTACTTTCTAAACACTCTCATTTCATAAGCTTAATTGGTCTGTGACAAGAACATTTTTTCTACCCTTAAAACAAACAAAATAAATGGTTAAGTGTTTCTACTTCCTAGTCTTGGAAAGCCCCATTTCTATTTCCAAAATCTACTTCCTTATGTCTCAGGTGGTCATATCAATATCAGCGTTATGTAGTATAAATACCAGAGCTCTAAAGAATAAAACCATTCTCTGGTGGTTAAATTAGTGGGCAGAATTAAATTCGTGGGCATTTGTAGTACCCAGAGCAAGTTCCAGAGGTAATTTCTTCCTGTTCTCCAGCACATCTGATGTCAGGCAGCTGAACCACATTTTATAATCTGCAGATAGCCCACTTTGAATAGAAAATTGAGGCTTAAAGTCAGCTATTCCATTTTACCTACTGAGAGCTGGTATTATTACCTTAAATCTTCCTCCTTCTGAACCACTTTTACTAAGAGAAAGATTTGAGAAGGAAAACTTTGGTTTTTAATGAATTCAAGGTCTTTTCAGAAAAGCTTATTTATAAACTGCTCTTGAAGTGACTATCTCTGGGTTGTTCCATCATTTTCTCCACATCATCTTATCAGAAGGCTTATTACAAAGCCTCTTAAGTTTTAAAATATATGTAGAAGTCTCTTATTGCCTGTTTTTATGACTTATGATCAGAATCTTCTCATTTTAATCCCAGGTACTTTCCACTTTATAATATACTGCCACCAAAACAGAGACATGTCCACCTGAAGTAATTCCTAGCTCTGGTCTTGCAAATTATTTTGAGATTTCTTTTATTTCTCTCCTTTATACCTGCTACTACTGAACATTTCAGTGATGTATTCTAGCCACAGATAAAAATATTTTTCTTATGTCTCTGGCATTACACTCTCTATTTTCTGGTAGCTTTTGACCTCAACAAATCATTCTAATACTGGATGGATGACCAAATCATCCAATAGAGTATTTTCTCCAGGGAATTCTACCTCTCCAGGTGACACCTGCCAGGGAGATCTTATTACAATCTTGGAAAGCTTTTAATATCTCAAGAAATTGGTTAACTGTTGTGGCTCAATTACATTAGTAATCTGGACTCCATTATTAGCCTAAAACTTCAAAGTAACATTTCTTCCTCCCTCAAATACGTAAATGGTAAATGTACTTAGCACTTTAATTTTCAGTATTAAACTGTACACATTGCAAATCCTCATCTCACAATGTCCCTCTTCTATGAAGTCATATGCCAACTACCATCATGATTTGTGTCATTTGGTAACCATAGTGAGGAAACACTCTAGTCTCACTTTCATCATGATGATTTAATTAAAAAATATAGCTGAGAGCTCCATCTTAATTCACAAATTCCAGATGAGTTCTCAAAGTACAATCCAGATGTTGTCCCCTTTGGGAAATTTCTATTCTCACCACTCTTTAATCTTAAAGACTCAACATATGTTCAAATGCAACCATAAGAAAACATGGAAAGCATCAGAGTGAATCATGTTGATTTCACTAAGGATTTGGTGAGGAGACAGAGAGAATGGCCAGCACTGAGCACCATACTATAAACAAGATGTCTTTAAAAATTTCCTTTAGGGATTTCTGGTCTTCAAAAACTCTTGTTTGCTCAAACTTTCAATTCCCTTCCTTTCACTTTGACTTCCCTACCATTTTCCCATATCACATGTCCTGGTCTGTCACCTTTACAAATACCCACTCCAGACATGTGGGCTTGGGTTTTGCCTTCCTTTCATGTAGAGCAATACCATCAGACCATCTGCCTTCTCCAGACCTCTCTGCAATGTTATTTAAACTTTCTCCACATTCTTCATTTTATCATGAACTTGTTTAAGGTTTTCTTCACAATTCTTGCATAAGTTGTTAAATACTCTAGAGAAAATTGAGGCTTAAAGTCAGCTATTCCATTTTACCTACTGAGAGCTGGTATTATTACCTTAAATCTTCCTCCTTCTGAACCACTTTTACTAAGAGAAAGATTTGAGAAGGAAAACTTTGGTTTTTAATGAATTCAAGGTCTTTTCAGAAAAGCTTATTTATAAACTGCTCTTGAAGTGACTATCTCTGGGTTGTTCCATCATTTTCTCCACATCATCTTATCAGAAGGCTTATTACAAAGCCTCTTAAGTTTTAAAATATATGTAGAAGTCTCTTATTGCCTGTTTTTATGACTTATGATCAGAATCTTCTCATTTTAATCCCAGGTACTTTCCACTTTATAATATACTGCCACCAAAACAGAGACATGTCCACCTGAAGTAATTCCTAGCTCTGGTCTTGCAAATTATTTTGAGATTTCTTTTATTTCTCTCCTTTATACCTGCTACTACTGAACATTTCAGTGATGTATTCTAGCCACAGATAAAAATATTTTTCTTATGTCTCTGGCATTACACTCTCTATTTTCTGGTAGCTTTTGACCTCAACAAATCATTCTAATACTGGATGGATGACCAAATCATCCAATAGAGTATTTTCTCCAGGGAATTCTACCTCTCCAGGTGACACCTGCCAGGGAGATCTTATTACAATCTTGGAAAGCTTTTAATATCTCAAGAAATTGGTTAACTGTTGTGGCTCAATTACATTAGTAATCTGGACTCCATTATTAGCCTAAAACTTCAAAGTAACATTTCTTCCTCCCTCAAATACGTAAATGGTAAATGTACTTAGCACTTTAATTTTCAGTATTAAACTGTACACATTGCAAATCCTCATCTCACAATGTCCCTCTTCTATGAAGTCATATGCCAACTACCATCATGATTTGTGTCATTTGGTAACCATAGTGAGGAAACACTCTAGTCTCACTTTCATCATGATGATTTAATTAAAAAATATAGCTGAGAGCTCCATCTTAATTCACAAATTCCAGATGAGTTCTCAAAGTACAATCCAGATGTTGTCCCCTTTGGGAAATTTCTATTCTCACCACTCTTTAATCTTAAAGACTCAACATATGTTCAAATGCAACCATAAGAAAACATGGAAAGCATCAGAGTGAATCATGTTGATTTCACTAAGGATTTGGTGAGGAGACAGAGAGAATGGCCAGCACTGAGCACCATACTATAAACAAGATGTCTTTAAAAATTTCCTTTAGGGATTTCTGGTCTTCAAAAACTCTTGTTTGCTCAAACTTTCAATTCCCTTCCTTTCACTTTGACTTCCCTACCATTTTCCCATATCACATGTCCTGGTCTGTCACCTTTACAAATACCCACTCCAGACATGTGGGCTTGGGTTTTGCCTTCCTTTCATGTAGAGCAATACCATCAGACCATCTGCCTTCTCCAGACCTCTCTGCAATGTTATTTAAACTTTCTCCACATTCTTCATTTTATCATGAACTTGTTTAAGGTTTTCTTCACAATTCTTGCATAAGTTGTTAAATACTCTAGCATGAACTAACTAAATATTCTAAAATGGTCGAATTCATAATGATTCTATCTGCATTTTATAGCACATTAGAGGTATGTTTTATAGAGATTGGCATGAGATGTATTTATTGCAGCTACAAATAATGTTTTACTCATAAAAAGGACATGTTAAGACTAAGAAAATAATTATAGCTTTTGAAATATCTATTTAAATGTTTGTATTTCTCTTAAAAATGTGAAACTTATTTTAAAGTATTTTATTGTGATAAAAACATTGAACATGAGATTTACTTTCTTAACATATTTTTAAGTGTACAATAACATATTGTTATACATAGGCACAGTGTTATACAGTAGATATCTACATTGTATTCATCTTGCAAAACTGAAATTTTATACCTATTGATTAATTCCTCAATTCTCTCCCTCCCCAATGCTGGCAACCAAAATTCTGTTCTTTGTTCTCATGAATCTAACTTAGATACCTCATATAAGTGGAATCATGCAGTATTTGTCTTTCTGTGACTGGCTTATTTTGTTTAGTGTAAGATCTTCAAGGTTCATCTATGTTGTCATATTACAGGAAAGCAAAAGAATAAAGTTGGACCCTACCTTACAACAAACACACACAGAAAAATCAACTCAAAATTAACTGAAGACTTAAACATAAGAGATGAAATTAGAAAACTCGTAGAGGAAACAGGTGAAACTCTTTTATGTAAGACTGTTATACGGATACTTTTATTGAGACAGGCTGGGTTTTTGCAGTCTTAAATAAAATCTGCATGCTACCAAAAATATCATAAGTGACCTTAGAAGACATAAATAGGTGGAGGGATCATTGTAAGAATTTTTACAAATATATTATTTTCTAGGGAGTGGATAATACTAGTCCTTTTAATAGCAAGGCTACTAAACATGAAAACAGATGCTTGCCTTTAAGTACCATGAATAGTGATATTTATTATAACTTCAACATTTTACTTACATCTGTCAGATGGCCACAAGTCGGTTTAGCTGTTTGAAGCATAAGTTGTTGAGTTACTGGGTCTAATTCTAGAGGAAAACCAAAGAAAATGTTTATAATATCATCAAAAGTAATAAAAAATAAACAAAAAAGACATTGCTAATCTTCATTGATATTTTGATATAGAAAACAAGGATCTTCCCTAATAATAAAATTGAGTCATTGGTAGTTCTTTCTAAATTCATATTCACAGACAGCCTGATCATCACAAGGAATGTTACCATAAATTATTTAATAGTTGCCTTTCTCCACCTCAAGTAAATGCAGCAGACAGGAATTCAAAGTGGGAAGATACCATTTCTGAATTACAGTCAACTCTGACAACATAAAGCTTTTCATTTCTTTTCTAACAATGTTTAGCAAGAAAAGACACACACTTTTGCACAGGTGGGTGGAGAAATACCATGTGATTCTATTGCAGTAATTATGATAGCCATAAAAGAATTACTGTTTCCTTTTCTTTGTAGCTTCAGAGAGATCTCAGGAGGGACAGCTGAAAAAGTCATGTCAGATTGATCTACAGGATGTGATTCAAAGGGTCCTGCTGTTAGCAGGTTTTCCAGAAGAAGAATGCCTTAAAGAGTTGACATATTTTTACTATAGTGCTTACACAAATCTCTGAAACCTCAATAATAGTTACAGAAATGATATTGTATCTTAGTTCAATGAACACAAAATTGAAAAATTAAGAGTTTCTGAAAAAAATGATTATATTTTTGTTATTTATTCTGAAAATATGGGGGAATATATTGATACATTTTTGAATGTTAAACTAACCTTACAATTTTGGACTAAACCAAACATCGTTTTAATAAATAGTCCTTGCTGTGTATACCTGGATTCAGTATATTAACATATAGTTACAATTTTGCATATGTCTATGTATAAGATTGGCCAGTAATTTTTTTTCTTGCAATGTCCTTGTCAGGTTTAAATATAAAGGCTAATTAAAAAGTGTAGGACTGTTTCTTTCCCTTATTCTTTAGAAAGTTTTGTGTAGGATTGACATATGTCTTCCTTATGCCTTCAATAATGTTTGGGGAAATTCATGGATTTCAGTCCAGAACATTTTAATTCCTGAAAACATGTGCCATATTTATTTGCACTCATTCCTCATTTGTACCTCTCGCAAGACCCTGACAGCATAACCTACTTTCTATCTCTATGAATTTGCCTATTCTGGATATTTAATATAAGTAGAATCATATAAATATGTAGTTTTCATGACTGGCTTTTTTCCTTGGCTTAATTTTTTCAGGCTCATTCATGCTGTAGCATTAATTGACACTTCATTACATTTTCGGGCTGAATAATTATCTATTATATGGGTATAACATTTTTTCTGTATTAATTGATGCACATGTAGGTTGTTTCCCCTTTAGTGCTATTATGAAAAATGCTATGAGTGTTCATGTAAACATTTTTGTGTGGACATGTGTTTTAAATTCTCTAGGACTGCGATTACTGGGTCATATGAAAACTTAATAGCTTGCTTTTATAGGACTACCAAACTATTTTCCAATGAGGCTGCACCATTTTATATTCCCATCAGTTATGTATGAGAGTTCCAATTTCTTCACATACTTGCCAACACTTATTATTATGTTTTTCATTTTGATATCCTAATATATGTAAAGTGCCATCAAGATGTTCTGATTAGCATTTCTCCTAAATTGGAGAAATGTGTAGATAAATTATTTAACCACTTTTTAATTGGGTTATTTGATGTTATTATTTTGCTTGAGTTGTAATAGTTCTGTGTATATTCTGGATACTAGACCCTAATCAGATATATGAGCTGTGAATATTTTCTCCCATTTTGTAAGAAGTCTTTTCACTTTCTTGATAGTGTCTTTTGCAGCACACAAGTTCTTACTTTTCATGAAGTCCAGTTTATCAATACTTTCTTGGGTTGTTCATTCTTTAGATGGTTAATATCTATGAACCATTGCCTAATGCAAGTAATGAAGTTTTACATCTGTTTTCTTTTAAGAGTTTTATAAATTTAGCTTTTACATTTTAGTAGTTGATGCATTTTTAACTTGTTTTTTTCATGGAGGTAGGGAGCCAAGTTGAGTTGTATGCATGTGCATATCCAGTTGTCCCTGCACCATTTATTGAATTGCCTTGATACTCTTATTGAAAATGAATTGACTGTAAAAATATGGTTCTATTTCTGAGTTATTTATTATATTCAGTTGGTCTATACATCTAACCTCTGCTACTACTATCCAAACATGACCAGTGTAATTTTGTAGTAAGTTTTGAAATCCAGAAGTGTTACTTCTCCTACTTTGTTATTCTTTTTCAAGATGTGTTGGACTGTTTAGGTTCCTTGCATTTCCATAAGAATTTTAGGATCAGTTTTTCAATTTTATAAAAGTGGAGAGATGAGATTTTGATAGGAATTATGTCAAATCTATAAATCAACTTAAGGAGTACTGCCATTATAACAATACTAAGACTTCCAATCCATGAGCAAGATTTCTTCCATTATTTAGGTTTTTAGTTTATTCTAATGATGTTTTGTAGTTTCAGTGTATAAGCAAAACTCTTCTTTTATTAAATTTATTTCTAAATATGTTGCTCTTTTTGAGGCTATTATAAATGGACTTATTAATTTCATTTTCATTCATTGCTAATGTATAGAAATACAATTGATTTTGTACATTTATCTTGTATCCCACTAACTTATTCATTGACTCTGATAGCTTTTTTGTGAACTTCTAAGGATTTGTCATCATAAAAGAGAGATAGTATTAATTCTTCCATTCCAATAAGGATATCTTCTTTACTTCCTGCCTAATTTTTCAAGAGGCCATTTTTATCATATTGAGAACATTCACTTCTCTTTCTATTTGTGGAGTTTTTTCATCAAAAGGAATCATGTAGCTTTTCTTCTTTATTCTTATCAATATGGTGTATTAACCAAATATATTTGGTATTACATTGGCTGATAATTGTATATTGAAAAAACCTGCATTTGTGGGATAAATTCTACTTGTTCATCATGTATAATCCTTTTTATATGGTGCAGGATTCAGTTTACTCATATTTTATTGAGGATTTTTACATCTATATACATAAAGACATTGGCCTGTAGTTTGGTGATATCTTTGTCTGTTTTTGGTATCAGGGTATAGTTGCCTTAAAGAATGCATTGGGAAATGTTCCCTTTTCTATTTTTGGGGGGTAGCCTACTATTTGTCCCAACTGTTATCCACATCCTTCAGCAGCTGCCAAATTAAATAATTGCCTCTTATTGTTTTCAACAAACACTTCCAGAATAAAGGCTTTGCACTGGGAAGTAAGTCATGTCACACAGACAATTTTTCAAGCTGTCTTCCAGAGAACCACTAAACCAGTTAAATAATTACATTTTCCTGGGAATGAGGCTCTGAATGGATTCAACCATGTTCTAGACTCTCCAGTAGCTGCCAGATTTCCACCTTGTACCATGATTGTGGGCTGTTGGTTTTCAAGGCTGCTACAGAGCTGGATAAGTGACATGGTTGTGGGATAAATTCTACTTGTTCATCATGTATAATCCTTTTTATATGGTGCAGGATTTTCAACCAGGCAAGTTGAAAATCTGACTAAGCTCACTACTTTCACTCAGATTGAGCTGATCAGTTAAATAAATGCTCCCCAGATTGCTATAAGCATTTTTTGCAATTCACAGAAAACTGAAAATAGTTGATTTACATAATTTTAGCCCATGTTTTTAATACTTCTTTGAAAGAAAATACTTGGAGGTCCTTATGCTACCACCTTTGTGGATTTCTATCTTCTTATTCTATTATATATTGCAAAAGTATGTTATATACTATATTTGTGGATTTGTGTATTTCTTTTAGTGATTTTTGTCAAATTTAGTTTTATTTGAATTGAAACCATATTGTTAATAATACTCAAATTTTTAATTATCATATCATTCTGAGAACACTTCTAATTAGAAGGTATTTCAACTTATCTATAATAAAACTTGTCCTTGAAACTTTTCCTTTATATTTGCGGATGCACTATTTTGTTACTGTTCACATGACAAATATTTTTTAAACTTTCCTTAACTTTCAATATTCCTATGTTGTTTCCACCTCTTGTAGGCAGTAATTAGATGCATTTTATTTTTACTTTTCCTGTTTGCTTTCTATTTATATTTTTAGGGTTTTTTAAATTTTTTCTCCATTTGTTTTATTTCAAATTTCTTCACATTGCATTTTCTATTTACTAGTTCTATACTTATGCATTTTCCTACTATTTTCAAAAATCTGTACTTAAGGCTGAAATGTATATTATTCTTGACATTAATTTTCACAATACTTGACAGTTTTCACCACTTCCAAATGTAAGAAATGTAGAATATTTTATGCTCAATTACTCATTTTAAAATCTATATTTTATAATGATTTTGCAGCTTTTTTAGCAGGAGGTTTATCTGAATAGCCTAGTTCATGTAAGGAAAGAACCCTCATTTTTTGATATTTGGACTGAAATCTAGAATGAAGTAGGGGAAAAAAGTTGAGAAGAAACCTTATTCAGTTTGTAGTTAGACTCTAGGACAAATTTCAGGAATTTTAACAACTAGTCATAACTGTCCCTTTGACCAGACAGTGGGGAGCAAGTACACTATGGCTCCACAGTGAGATTCTATAACAATACTACAGTACTGCTCTTACAGCACAGTCAATGCAAAGGTACCTGCTTGCTCTAATAGTGCTCCTTTGATAGGGATACCTGCAATTTCACCACTGAATAAAATTACAGGAGCCTAAAATAGGACATTATAAGACAATCTGCAGGAATAACTTATCTATGACCACAAAAGTTACTGTGAGGCAGTGGTTCTCAAAGTCTGATTTTCAGACCAGTGGCATAAGTATTACCTGGGTCCTTGTTAGAACTACATATTTTTGAACCTCAACCCAGATTTACTGAATCAGAAACTCTCAGTATAGAGGTCAGTAATTGATATATTCTTGGAGCCCCTTTAATACTCCTTGAGAGAACCACCCTTATTGGGAAAACT